TGAAGGGTGAGACAGTACACAATACAGGGGAAACTAGCACAACTTGTACAAGGAAAGCTCATGGAAGCCCCAGACACATCCAGACTCCCTGAGGGACTGAACTGCTGGGCTGAGGGCTGTGGGGACCATGGTCTCGGGGAATATCTACCTCAATTGGCATGACACAGCTTATAAAGACAATGCTGTAGATTCTACTTTGGTGAGTAATGTCTGGGGTCTTAAAAGCCTGTGAGCGGCCATCTATGATACTCCACTGGTCTCATCCCTTCGGGAGCAAGGGAGAATGAAGAGAACAGGATACAAGGAGAAGATTAGTTCGAAGGACTAATTGTCCACAGCTACCAAGGCCTCCACCGGACTGAGTCCAGTACAGCTAGATGGTGCCCGGCTCCCACCACTGACTGCTCTGACCAGGATCATAACAGAGGGCTCTGGACAGAGCTGGACAAGGATGTAGAACATAATTCTAACACACAAAAAAAATAAAAATAAAAAAAAAGACCAGATTTACTGGCCTAAAGGAGAGTGGAGAAACCCCGAGAATATGGGCCCCTGACACCCTTTTAGCTCAGTGGTGAAGTTATATCCAAGGTTCACTGTTCAGCCTGGGAGTGGACAGCCCTGTAAAATCAAATGTGATTAATGAGGTACAGTAGTCCAGTGACAAGGGCCAGAAGGCAGAAGAGGACAAGGAAGCTGGTGATAGGGAAGCCAAGGTTGAGTAAAGATATTGTTGATGTGTTCTGAGATTGTTAACCATTGTCATAGGGCAACATGTGTAGTAACTGTTAAATGAGAACTATTTTTGTTCTGTAAACCTTCATCTTAAGTTAGAATAGCAACACAATTGTAAGAGCGTAGTCCATGTTACTGAACTGTACATGTAGAAATTTTTGAAATGGTGTATCTTTGGCTACGTGTATTTTCACCAAAAAAAAAAAAGTCTGAGAAGTTAGAGGGTTGACACGTTGTGGGGTTGTTAACCAGTGTCATAAAACAATATGTGTACTACTGTTTGATGAGAAACTATTTGTTCTGTAAGCCTTCACCTGAAGTACAATAAAAAAAAAAATGAAAAAAAATAATAATTGATACAAAATACTTTTGAGCTCTATAATACTTTTATCTGCAGAAACAGGAAATGGCAATGTCATTTTCCTTGGAAAGACCTGTGCTTCTAGCTTGTGAAAACTGAATTTTATTAAACAGCATTAGAGTTTGAATATAAAAATCCACCAATCCCAAATCCCTGACAATTTTAAAAGAACACAAAAACCTTCTAACATGTAACAGACGCCTCTAATGTAGCCAGTCACCCCAAACTTCTTTCCATGTCAAACTGCAGTTTTCTCTCCAGCAGAAGCCCTTTTTCCCTCCTTTACCATCTGAAAGTGTTTACTGGTATTAAAACTCTTAAGAGCATTAGTATCCCTAATTTTTTGTGTCTTTCCCCATTTTATTATTTATTATTTCCCCAAATACAGCAGGATGTGGGGAGCAACATGTAACCTTGGCCAAGTCAACTAAGAACTCTGGGCCTCAGTTTCCAGACCTGTAAACGGGTGAAGCATTAGACTGTATAATACAACGTCCTCACATTCCCCTCCTCAGTTTTGAGGGGTGTTCAGTTGAAAGGCAAAAGCAAATCTGCAAACATGCCCTTTTGGTCCACGGTTCAAATGTGCTAATCTGCATTTGTGCGGCATAAATCCACTCCTTTTGGGGTCCCACAGCTGACTGACATGTCTTTTCCAGCCCCACAAACTTTCTGCCACAAATTGCCAACTGTGCCTGGGACAAAATCTGCCTAGAGAAGGCTGGGATTAAGAAGTTATTCTAAAAACGAGGGAACAAATAATTGACCCATAGGATGAACTGCAAAAAGAGGCCTGAGTCACAGCCCCTAAAATCAAAGGAGGTGGTAGGGCACGCCGAAAGCACCGCAAATGAGATTCTGAAACTCAGAAGCGGCCAAATAAAGACCCTCCCGAAAAAGAAGGAAAGGAGCCCTCGTGGCGCAGTGGTTAAACTCTGGCTGGTAACCAAAAGGTCTCAGGTTCCCACCCACCAGACGCTCCGCGGGAGAAAGATGTGACAGTCTGCTTGTAAAGATCAGTCTTGGAAACCGTATGGGGGCAGTTTTAGTCTGTCCTATAGGGTTGATGTGAGTCAGAACAGACTCCACAGCAACGGGTTTTCTTTTTTTTTTTTTGGAAAAGGGGAGAAAATCTGAAAACAAAACAACCAGCAGGACAGAACAGAAATTGGGAACCTAAAAACATTGGACGGAAGGGGCGGGGCTCACGTTTCCGGGGCGGGGTCTGGGCCGGCTGTAGGGGAGGGGCAGGCGGTCTGGCCCTAAAGCGACGCATTTGCTCAAACCTGGGGTCCAGGTCTTCGTGGTTACCCTCTCTCGGCGGACCTGAAAAGACCAGGGGCGCCCCTCCTGGGAGCTCTCCGGTGCGGGCCGCGGCCCTCGTGTTCTCCACTCAGGATCCTTGGACTGGGCCAGCGAAGAGCCAACTGTCGCGGCCTTTGCGACCTTCGCGTCTCCTAGCAACGCGGGGGTGCCGCCCTAGCCCCGCCCCAAGCGAACGGGGCTCTGTGCGCTTGCGCGAGACCTGGGCGGGTCATGGGAAGGTAGTCTCCGCAGTTGGTGTTCGTATCGTGATGAGGGCCTAGCAAAGACTCATCCCTGACCAGAGGTGGCGAGCGAAATGTGTTATTTGATGTTTTTTGAATCCGAGAAAGCATTCCCTGTGAAAGCGGATGATCATTGGCGTTTCTCGCCCCTGACAGTACATAACTCCTATCTGTCCCCCTTTTTCATTCTGTGGAGATTAAATGAACAAATTTAAAGGGTCAAGCATAGTGCCTGCCAATTGCTTAACCTGCAATAAATGATATCTAGAGCTTTTATTGTTTTTTAAACATTATCTTCATTATTATGCCTAAAATACCATTTGCTGACAAGTCCCAAATTTATTTCCTCATTCCAGATCCCTCTCTAAACTGTAGACTTGTATACCCAACGTGTATATTTCAACATCCATTTGATTGTCCAAATGGAATTCCTGCCTCCCTCCCACCAAAATCAATTAATCAATAAAACCTGCTCCTTCCACAGTCTTCCCATTTCAGTTGATGGCACCTGGGATCCTCTCTTTCACTTACCCAGTGTATCCAATCCATCAGCAAAACCTGTTGGTTTTATTGCTCGTACACAAGTCCACACCACTGTGATTTTTTACCTCTGGTTATTGTAGTACCCTCCAACAGGTCTTCCTCTGCTCAAAACCCTGCAATCATTCCCCATCTTATGTAGTCCTGGTGGCGCAGTGGTTAAGAGCTTGGTTGCTAACCAAAAGGTCGGCAGACTGAATCCCAGATCCACTCCTTGGAAACCCTATGGTGCAGTTCTACTCTGTCCTATAGGGTCACTATGAGTCGAATCGCAGAGTAAAAACCTAAGTCTTTATACGGCCAGAAAAGCCCTACAAAATTTGCATACAAGTCCCTCCTCTATTACTCTGGGTTGCTTTGCTTCAGCCACACTGGCCACTTTGCTGTTCCTGCACTTGTTCCTACCTTAGGGCTTTTGCTGTAGCTGTTCCCACTGCCTGGAATGGCCTTCTTCCAGGTATCTGCTGAGTAACTTCCTCATCTCCTAGTTACTGTTAAAACGTCAGCCTGCCCCCCTCCCCTATTCCCTGTCATGCTCTACCTCCCTTACTATGTTATAATGTTTCCTTTTTTTCCCATAGCACTTGTGATAGATTGAATTGTGTCCCCTAAAAAGGTATGTTGAAATCCTAACTCCTATGACCTCGTTTGGAAATAGGGTTTTTCTTTTGTTATCAGTTAAGTAAAATGAGGTTATACTCTGAGTAGGATGGGTCCTAATACTAATCCCTTCTGAAGAGTGCTTTATAAAAGGGGAGAACAGAAATGGGGACAGAGACAGACAGGGGGAAGACACCACATGATGATGGGGGCAGATGTATCTCCAATCACCAAAACAACACCAAGGATTTCCAGCAGCCCCCAGAAACTAGGAGAGAGGCATGGAATAGTTCCTCTCTCATAGCTCTCAGAAAGAATCAACATGGCTCATGCCCTCAATTTGGACTTCTAGCCTCCAGAAGAGTGAGAAAATAAGTTTCTGTTCTTTAAAACCATCCACTTTGACGTATTTTGTTATGGCAGCTGTAGGAAACTATTACAGCACTTATCAGCACATGGGGTCGCCATGTATCAGAATGGACTTGACCGCAACTAATGACAACAACAACGTAATATTTAAATTGCTTATTTATCAGTTTTATTGTCTCTCTCTTGCTAGAATGTAATTTCCACAAGCACAGAGATCTGGGTGTACCATAAATTCCTAGAATAGCACCTAGCACACAATAGGTGTTAAAGTAATATATTTGAATGAATACATTTCATCAGCAGCAGCACCACCACCCCACCACTGCTATGGAAGCAGTGCAGCATAGTGGTTAAGACTATGGCCTCTAGTAGATGGTGTTCTTGGATTCGCATCTGGGCTCTACTACTTAGAAGTAACAAGATCTTTTGCAAATTTGCTTAACCCCAGTTTCCTCTGCTGTAAAATAAGGACAAAAAAAATGTACTTATCTGATAGGGTTGTTGTAAAGATGAAATAATAAATATAAAGCACTTAGGACAGCATTTGGACCTACATAAATGTTAGATATTATTTCCACTAGAATGTGCATTCCATTAGGGTGGGGATTTTTGTCTGGTTTGCTCACTGCTTTCTCTGCCTAGAATGGTCCCTGGCACACAGTAGATGGTCAGTGACTATTTGTTGAGTGAATAAATGAATCCTCGCCATCACCTTTCCTGGACTATTGTAGCAGCTTCCTACTCAGACTACCTGCCCCACATTGCGCTAGTGCCTTTTCTAAACTCTAAGCATCTCAAAACATTAGCATCTATCACAGTGAAAAGTGTAGTAAAACACAGATTGCTGGACCCACCCCCAGAGTTTCTGATTCAGTAGGTCTGGAATGGGGTAGAGAATATTGTTAGTGATGTTGGAACAGGGTCCGCTCTTTGAGAAATACTGTTCTAACCTGACCCGTCACTCCCTTGCTTAAAAACCACCAGGCTTCCCACTGCTGTTCACGTTAAAAGTTTTTAACTCCTTGGCTTGGTGTATACGGTCCCTCATGGTTTGGTCTCACCTGGTTCAGCCTCAACATCCCCTGCTAGGTCCCCATCATTTCCTCCTTTTGAGCTCAATAGTCTGGTTAAAAGGAACTACTTGCAGTTCCCACAACTGAATAAAAACTCATCCCAGGGACTTCAGCTGTTCTTGGGCCTAGAAGCTGAGCTCAAATTCACCTCCACTACTAAGTTTCTCTGATGACCCCTTTCTCCTTGCAGAATTGAGCTCTCTCCTGGGAGCTCACCCTGAGCACACATTAAAATACCTGTAAAACCTCTTATATTTATTTGTTTACATGGATTTCTCCTTCTGCTGTACTGTAAGCTCTTGGTAGACCATGACTGATTCCTTTAAGTACCTCCAGGTTCAAGCACTATCCCTGGCACTTAGTAAACCAAAACCAAACCTGTTGCCATCAAGACATTTCTGACTCATGGCGACTCCATGTGTTACAGAGTAGAACTGCTCCATAGGGATTTATTGCTTGTAATTGTTATGGAAGCAGAGTGCCAGGCCTTTCTTCTGTGGTGCTGTTGGGTGGGTTTGAACCACCAACCTCTAGATTAGTAGGTGCCCAAATTGTTTGTGCCATCCAGGGATCTTTGACAATTAGTAAATGTCCAGTAAATAATTATAGCCAATATTTATTGAGCACTTGTCATTTTCCAGGGCTTTGGGTAGGCTTTATTATGATCTCCGTTTTACAGCTGAAAAAACCTAGTTACAGATAAGTTCAGTAACTTAACCAAGATCACACAAATAGTAAGGGCTTAGGTGAGACTCTGACCAGGACCTTCAAAATGTAATGACTAGAATCTTAGCCCCTGAACTGTATTTTAGAATGTTAACTTGAATGAATTCCTACATTTCTCTGGTGAGTTCTAAGACAACCTTCCTCTCACCCTCTTCCAACACTGAAATAGGAATTTAAAAAATGACAAAAACTGAAGATAAGCCATCTGAGGCTAAATCTTATAAATTAGGATATCTTAAATTTTAAAATTGTAAACGCTTAGCGGTAAGTACACCACCTCGTTTTTGTCAAAAAAATAAATAAATATTGTGTCATGGATTGAATTGTGTCCTCCAAAAATATGGGTCAACTTGGTTAGGCCATGATTCCCAGTATTGTGTGGTAGTCCTCCATTTTGTGATTGATGTAACTTTCTGTGTGTTGTAAATCCTAATCTCTGCCTGCGGTTAGTGAGGCAAGATTAGATTATGTTAAAGAGGATTCAGGTGGGATATAACATCCTTACCCATGTCACATCCCTGATCCAATGTAAAGGGAGTTTCCTGGGGTATGGCCTATACCACCTGTTATCTCTCAAGAGATAAAATAAAAGAGAAGCAAGCAGAAAGTGGGGGACATCATACCACCAAGAAAGCAGCACTGGGAGCAGAGCATGTCCCTTGGACCTGAGGTTCCTGTGCAGAGAAGCTCCTTGTCCAGAGGAAGATTGATGACAAGGACCTTCCTCCAGGGCCGACAGAGAAAGGCTTCCCCTGGAGCTGACACCTTGAATTTGGACTTGCAGCCCGCTAGACTGTGAGAGAATGAATTTCTCTTTGTTAAAGCCTTCCTCTTGTGGTATTTCTGTTATAGCAGCACTAGATAACTAAGACATATTGTATATGTTCTTTTACGTTGCTTATTAACGTATCTCATTGTATAATTCCTAATATAACACTTTATTCCTTCTAAATGAATAGCATAAAACACAGTAAATCTACAACACAAGTTATAAAATTAAGAAAAATATATCTTGTAGTGATTTTCCAACAAGGATTTATATCTACCTCAATAACTAATTTTTTTAATTTTTGACATTCAATATAAATTTGTTAGCAGTTTTCAGTCCTGCTGAGACAGAATGAATCAAGCACTTAGAAGTTCAAAGACTTTGGAATTGCTGAAATGCACAGATTCCCAGCTGGAGTATGGGGAAACAGCAGGAGCTGGCATTGTTGACCATATTTCACAGTTTTCTTTTTTTTCCCATACAAAAATTTATACATGCATTGTTATGTGACCCTAATTGCTCTCCCCATACTGTGACAGCACACTCCTCCTTTCCACCTGATTCCCCATGTCCATTCAATCAACTCCTAATCCTCTCTGCCGTACCATCTCACCTCTGGACAAAAGCTGCCCGTTTAGTCTCTGGTATCTACTTAAGCTAAGAGGCACACTCCTCACGAGTATCACTTTATGTATAATAATCCCATCCAATTCCTATCTGAAGACTTGGCCTCCGAAATTGTTTTAGTTCTCGGCTGATAGAGAATCCAGGGACCATGCT